AAAAAAAAAAAAAGTAATGCAAGCATGCTAACCCAAAACATAATAATTTTATAATTATTATAATTTATCCCTCTGCTTGTGGAGCTGTCATTTTAAATGTAAAAATAAGTCGTGCAATGAAAATGATCAGATATTTTATTTGGTCCATTGACTTGCTAGATATCAGAACTCTGATGTCTACATATTCAAAACGGGTGCTCATGGTCTCTCTGATGATGATGATGGTGATGATGATGAGCACCAGCATGTGAGAAAAAGAAGGCACAACAACAGAAAATAATACAGCTTAAAAAGGTGCTCCTAGAAAAACATTTTATCACAAAATGAAAATATGTGATAAGTAAATAACAGAACAATGTATAACACAGTCAGCTGCCTTTCAAGTGATTCTCTTGGCCCACAGATGGACTTCAGTTTTAGGTTTATTTAAATAAAGCTGATATAGTTTATATAGCTTCTATTGTAGCTATGATGAAAAACAACCAGGGTCCTCATGTTTAGCCTGCCGCGGCCATTGGTTGGAAGAGCCGCAACAAATTGTCAACAGAAAAAGTTTGTAGGTTTTATTGGATTATTTATATATAGATGAGTTTTATTGGTGAGAGTTTTATAGTTTGCTGTTGCCTTTGTCCATACATATATAGTGTATGACAAGTTAGATACAATCCACCAAATCTACAATGAAAGTACCAGAGCTTTTATATAAACACTGTTTTTCATTTTGATATTTAGGATATTACACAGTACAAGCCAGGGATAATAGATAAAAATTAGCCGAAAGTGTTATGTTAATGAGCACTGACCTGTCAAAATAAAATCCATAAAATGAACTGTATCATGAAAAGGACACTGGTTTAAGTCTAATGTTGAAATCTAGCGAGAGTTTAACATTTCAGGTACCTGGCGGAAGAAGTTGACGATCCTCTCACTGGTATTGTAGTGGGGGGAGTTGATCCAGATGATTCGAATGAGACTGACAATGTGTTTCAACTTGGAAGCAATTTGGCTTGGTTTGAGCTGCTCAAGCTCTTCGCAAGGCTCCTTCAATATGGACAAGAAGGTCAGATTTGACTGGGCCTGAAGAGAACAATCCTGGGCAGAACACACACACAAAGTCAAGGTGAAATGAATGATTACTACTATTATTTCAGTCACATTCACCAAAGCTTTCACGTTCACATATTGAGGCCTTCCAGCTAGACTGCAACATACGAAGCACAACACTTTGCGCTTATGATGCTATTTGTTTTGTAAATAAAATGTTGACATTATTTGGATTAAATCTTTATTATAAGCTGACTTTGCGCAGATTTACCTGTATTTCATGGGCCAGCTGACAGAAGCGCTGTACATACAGAGACTTTGCAACCTGGAGGATGTTCTGGATGTGCTTGACCCCTGGCTTCTGTAGCTGCCGGCTGATGTTCAACAGCTGGGTAGAGCGAGTCTTCCAGAAGGATATCTCCTGCAGTGGACCACAGCTGTCTCTCATGTTCACAATGTCTTGCGCATTTAGTAGCTCCTTGATTTGATCAGTCCAGTGGATCATTACAACTAAAACATGTAGAACATGTGAATGGAGGACACAGGAAATTAAGGTAGGAACAAACAATATAGAAAAGACACACAATAAGTAGACATAAACTAGTGGTGTTATGCTATAACTACTAAGCATGACTACAGAAATGTCATGGATATAAGAATGCAACAGAGTTCTGAACATAGATGATGGAAATAGAAAGAAGCAGTCAAAAACATGAACAGGTGCAAATTTTGTAAGATGGACCTTGAATGAAATAAAATCACTGGAGAGCCTGAGACAGAAAGCTCATGGTGCAGTTTCAATGTTGTCTTCAGTATAAAGTCAGAGAACAGACATTTGTAAGTGTGACCCTTTTAACCCATACCCTTCAGAGACACATGGAAACCAAAAGCAACCCTTGTCAGCTGCATGCAGATGCATACAAATAGCGCCGCTAGCTTACTTTCCATTCTCTGTATCAGCTTCCTGTCCTTGCTGGCCTCCTCAGCACTGCACTGCAGGCCTTCCATTGGGATGTAGAGAACAGTGTTCCCAAACTTCTTATGTACATCATCTGTTCAAAAAGAAAATAAAATTACACCACATGTGTAATGCTCATATGTGACCATCAACTACTCACGGCATCAACTGAAGTCATCTGACAAGTTCCATTCTTTTCATCCTTCCTACCTATAGTCCTGTTACACAGCACAATCTGCACGCAGAGGCCCATAAAATACCTTTCCCTCCATTTAAAGAAATACTGTATGCATACTATAAATAGACAATTCACAGTCACAGGGGAGCTTGATTGAATCACTTCTGTTTAACAATGCTCACCAGCCAGTGGGGTTGAGCTTGAATGATTTTGCAGGAATATTGGGAGACATATCCAAGAAAAGCTAAGCTTGCCTTCCGTATTTATCATCAAGAGTACAAGGCACTGGTACAAACGTACATTATACTATGTAAGCCTAAAGTCAAACTGGAAAGCAACAAAAAAATCGGAAGTAAAAGATATGTGTGATTTTCACTGCCTAAGGATTTGCAGATTGGAAGCATAAACAAGCGGGGGTGGTGGGGGGGACATATTTGTAGAAGCAGAACTACTTCTGTTAAGTAAGATGAGGAAAAATACTTCAAAGGAAGTTGACAAAACTGCCTGTGTAGACTCTTCTTTAATGAGCCCTAAAGAGTCTCAATGACAAATCATAGTGCGAAAAGCAAAGCTAAATAACTTGAAAGAAGTCAAATAAATCGTATAATGTGAGACTAAGTGTTGAAAGAGTGAAATGCCTGTTTCTTTAAAAAAAAAAAAAAATTACTCACCTGTAAGGCTGGCGAGATATAAGTGCATGTGTTTGGTATAGCTGTCCTTGATGCTCTGCTCCCTGTAGGCGCTAATGGCAACTGGGGGGGCGTGCAAACAGGTCATGTCTTGAAGCAGCCTCTGGATGGGGTTGCCTTGCACCGTGCCAAACTGTATGGCTGTATCAAACGTTTCTAGTGTGATTATGGCTTCTGGCACACGGACAAAATAGGACAACTGCCCTACCACCTCTCCCTATGAAGATAAATATTCAGATGCAGTGGTGAAAGAGACAGAAAAAGAAGGCAAAGGGGGCGACTGAATTAACAAACAAAACATTAGGCACTTTTATATTTTCCCCTCAAACATTACAAGACCAGTAAAATCAACTGAAATAAATCACCAACCACAATGCTGAGAGGAAAGAGTGTTGTACCAGTAAGGGCATCGAGTACTCCACCCGAAGTCCAACCTTGGTGTCCAGGTAGACTACCATGGTTGTGATAGAGGCGTCTTCAATGAACTGATCCACAGCTTTCTCATTCTCCTCTGTCCATGATTCTTCGGTTACACCAGAAATAGCCACACAGTCGATGAACAACTTAGATGATAGTGAGAAGAAAAGGATGAGTATGTGTAGAGGAGTGGGGAGGAAAAGTTGATTAATAATTGCCACAACTCGTTAAGGTGGAAGAAAAAGTTTAATTTCTAAATCACAGTCACCTGACGAATAGCTTTAGAGTATTCCTCTTCCATTTCTTCTTTTTTCCGTCAAGCTTTCTGTTATTTCTCTATGGCTGTGAAATATACGACACAGGCTACAGTGCAGCAGTGAATTGAAGCATCAAGTTTAAAACACACACACACACGCACACACACACATGTATATAGTTTAGTAAACCATTATGATTACGTTACTGTAGCATGGATGTTACAGACTAGCTTACCACATACTAGTTTAGGCAGTTGGTAAAGTTTTAGCGACGTCGTTACCTTTGGAGAGAAGTCTTCGGCAGCAAAAATATTTACTTCACCTTTCTATTTAAACCCTCCGACATGACAGCTGTAAACCGGTAAAAAAAACCACCAAAACATTTCCGTGAGGTCATTGTGACCGAACTTAAATCGGTAATTACACAAATGTTCGTCTATCTGGTCCTTCCTGTCCCTTTACAGTGAACCATGTAGCTGTGTGTGCTCGTCACCTTGGAAACCTTTGGTTGCCAGGGGAACCCACGTGGACTGGGGCTGAGCGCGGCAGACACGTGAGCGATATTGTTGGCGATACTGTTTTTGTTTTTTCCTCCCACAGTATATACAACTACAAATTCGTTTTTCTGGGGTTGTTGGAAGATTTATTTTGTAATTTAAAATTTGTAATTTTTTCTACATTCTGTATGATCAGAAGCTATTGCCAGTGCACATGGGCGCTTTCATATATTCAAGATTCAAGAGCTTTATTGTTTATATATAGTAAACGTGCACACAGGTGTTGGTAATCATATTAATTCTGTGCCTAAATGAAATAAAACCTTGATTCGTTTAATCACTAATATGTGTTTTTCTACCTCGTTGGTGGCAAATATGGCGTCAAATCCGACCAACAACATGATTTTGTAAAATAAAAGTTCAGAGAAGGAAGATGTACATACTGGACTTTGACTGTATTTTCTCCTTAAGAATAAATGAAGTAAGTAAAAGATAAACTACTCAATGACCGAAGATGAGATTTATTTATTTATTGTTTCGCCTTAGGTATTCTATTAAATTTCTGGAATGCATAATTTATTGACAAACCCGTATGAACCAGTATGAATGAATGAGCCAGTGAATGAATAAACAAACCTTTTCCACGGATTAACAGAATATTTCTGTTTTTAGGAACAAAGTCCAAGTGATCTGCTCATACTAAAAACTTGTGTAGTGTAATATAAGAGAGTAAAAAAGTGACAAAATTTACATGGGTGAAGGTGTACTGATGTTGCAGCGATAGTGAGATTAAGAAGATTATATACGATTTAAAAGTGAAAAAGATTTCTAACAATAACGTCACTTTATGTAAGGCATATTAGCTGCAGAATGTTTAGTATTTGTATATTGTTAAACACTTATTTTTTTCTCTTAGATTTGAAACTTACTTAGACCTTAATGAAGTCCACAGTAAAGAACAATGGTTAAAATTTGGAATAAGCCTGACTTCATTTAAATTCTACATACTGTCGAATGTGCCCCATACACCTTTCACCACTGAACAATGGACTGTATGTGCACAGTCACAATAAGCTTTGTCTGATATGAGGCAAAGGAAGCCTGTGTTTGGTCTTTGAGGGCGACAATCCTTAAATCTGAATACAACCTTGAACTCAGACTCCTCTCATTACAGGATTATTCATCCTCCCAGCTTACTTTCTTCAGGGTCCCTTCTCTTGTTTTTATTTTCCTCCCTTTCAGTCCTTTCCAGTGGGGAAGTCTGGGCTTTCTCTTCGTCTCTCACTCAAATGAACAACTCCAAACATCTTGTCTCTGAAGCGTCATTAGAATTCATTTGTTTGAATAGGTTAGTTTCTCCTTCAGTCACTGCCTCCTTCAGTTTGGGAAAAAGACCTCTTTGTATAAAATTAATTACTTCAACTTGATTAACTGAATCGTTTGCACGTGTGCTAACCTGGGTATTTGTCACATTTCTATCCGAACATGAGCCTATGAAGTCACGGAGAGATGTAATTAGTGCAGACCAGAAATGAATGAATTCATCTTTTATGCAGATAGTTTTGTGAATTTGTCATGTCTGCACTGGTAAATACTGCCTCTTCCAGGAAATAACCATGTGCTCATGCTCTTCAGTTATACAAACTTGTACTTACTTTGGGCAATACAGGGGACAAATGACTCATACTGCTACCCTTCAGGGGCACCACAGCTGGTTGTGTGCTGAATACTTTTGTTCTCAAATCAATCAGGCTTGTAAATACTCTCCTTGCCCTTGACTTTACCCTTTATGTGAAACTGCAACTTACTTAGAACTTTTGGCATGGCCAGAATCCCCCAAGCACCTACCTATGTGCTAGAATCTAACAGTAGACATCACAGGTTAGCCTGCCAGCATTTTAATATAACTACTGGGCTATTTCTAGTTTCTGCTACAACATGCACTAAATTTCACACATGTAAGAGCTGCAGTATTAACCATCAGATAATTGCTTAACTTCCACTCGGGGCTTGCTCAGAATAGAAATGCGCCACTCAAAAAACTTCAAATTCTTAATGCATTTACAATTTCAGACCCTGGTGTGTCTAGGTAATATTAAACCCGAGCCATTAACAAATGAAAGCATCCCTCTGTGCCTCATATATATATAAAATGACCAGTAACAGAGCTGATCCTGTTTCCCTGGTCAATTATGTCTGCCAGCCCAACCCTGGATAAATGTCCAGCCTTCACTGAGGTTGTAGGGAGTCGCTGACAGATGGAAACAAATGCATACGTGTGGATTAGGCAGATGAAAGCCCCTATGCCTGCCATACAGACCGAACCTACAGTGGATGTGTCATATGAACACTAAACACGCACACACACTACACCCTTGTGTAGAACCCAGCTAGAAAATTGCCAGAGACGCAGAGAGGCAGGCCACAATTAAAGCCATGAGTCTGTGAGCTCAGATCTAATGACAGGCTGCCAGGACAAGGAGGGCTGGAGAAGTGAGGGATGGGAGGATAAATAGGACACGGAGTCTATGATGGGCTGTTTACATCAGATAAGGCCAGAAAATATACAGCATTAGTTTGAAAAATGAGAAAAGACGTGAGTGCAGAGCAGCACGAGTATGAAGAAATTTAAAAATGATAACGGGAAAAAAAGAGTTTTCTAGCTTACAATTGGTCAGTTTAATAGAGAAGCTCAACTGGATAGCAGCAACCTTGATAACAATTCAGTATTTCAGTGAAGACAGCACACATACATGCAGAGCGATGCGCATGTAGTACAATGAGCTCAGGGCCTTTTTAGGAAAGTGAGCAGGCCTTGGAAGGTTTACTTTGCTTATTACTCTGCGATTTGTTCACAGACACTGGCTTTGATCAGCCGCAGAGGGTTGAGGTGCGCTCCGCTGAACAGGGACTCAAAAGTATACACAGGTAGGTGCAACTCAAACAAACACACATCTGAATGTATGCTTTCTTGTACTTGCATAGCCAGGAAAAAATCTGACCCATGAATTTAAACGCATACTCCCCTGACCAACCCCTGCTCGGTCAACACACACACACACACACACACACACACACACACACACACACACACACACACAC